CACACTTACAATTTCATCAGCTATTCAAAATGGTCTGGTGTTGTGGTAGAAAAAAGAGACGCTCAGAGCAACTGATGTAGTATAAATGGCGAAAAAACCTAGGAGAACGCTGCTAATGTCCTGTGTAAAACAAACATATTTTGACTTCTTTTACCCTGGTTTTGTTACTAACGCCAGTTACATAACAAGAATACTGATCTTAACCCAATCCATAATCTTTCCCGAAGTCTAACCAACTGGATAAGTAAACCTAAAAACTAAATAAACATACGTTGGAACTTTATTTTGAAAACACCATGGAACAAGCAGAAACTGTACGTTTCCTGTGAACACTTAAGTTTATTTTTAAAGGACACTATGAATGTAACAATCGGAAACTGACACGCTTCCCCTGACATGTTCATAACTGACCCCAGAGGGGTGCGTAGAGCGTCATAGTTTGACACGTAGGGCCACTGACCAAGCATGAATGTGATCAGCGCCGGTGTGCACAATGTTGTAAGTCAACTTAAACTGTTTGAGCTACATATTTCTTCAAGCAAGATTGTTCATTTTAAAGCTCAATGTTTTCACTCGACTGTGCGAAACCCACGCCCTGTACCGTCTTTGAGCTCTTTGTTTTCGGTCTTGCAGTCCACAACTTTACTGTTCGGCTCAGTCTCACTGCTGACAGCTGAAGCCTGCACTGAGACGAAAGCGACGAGCTAGTGGAGCATTTAGCAGCTAAAGAGCAGGAGAAATATGAATTGGTGGAAAGCAAAACAAACCAAAGCAAGTTCAACTCATTGATTTTATTAATTGATTATGTGTCAATTTTGTTTACAGCTTGTTCCAAGTTGTCAAAAATTAATTTATTGAGTTTTGAAATGCTCCTTACAGCAGCCTCTGTCTCAACTGGAAATAACGTGGGTGGGACAGTTTCATTTTATTCACTAACGATTGGTCAAGTCAGTAGAAGTTATGTCATTACAAATACATTAATGTCATGATATTTTGTGGTCAAAATGGTGCACTTCTTTAAAAAGAATGCAAGTTTAATGCACTTCTGCATTGTCTTCACAGAACTGGGGGCTGCCCCTGGTGGCAACAGACCCTGGTTCAGTCCAAACCAGCTCTAAGAGAGCTGGATGCCAGATCATCCAGCTCCTCTAGAGTAAGCAATAGAAAATCCCTAAAGCCCCACTCGAGGTAGGCTGACATTAGACAGGTGTGTTTTGTTGACATTGGCTTTACTTCCTCATCGTTTGACGTCCTGCAGACTCTGATGCTCTGTGTAAAATCAATGGCAGTAATTGCAAAATTCGCAATTTTTGTAATTTAAATAAAGTATTTCCATTATCTAGAGTATAACCCCAAATAGGTTATTAATAATAATACAGCGCTTTAAAAATAATACAGCGCTTTAAAAAGGTACTCAAAGACACTTTACATGGTAAAAGCAGAAACAATGGAAGTAATTATAATATAAACAAAATAGATGGCATAATAGTAAAAAAAACATACATAACTAACTTCACAGGTTAAAAGCAGATTTTAATAGATGAGTTTTAAGTCTGAGGTATTTGGGGAGGGAGTTCTAGAGGGAGGGGGCAGCAATGGAGAAGGCCCTCTCCCCCCAGGTCCGAAGCTTGGACAGAGTAGGGGGGTAAGGAGGTTGGCATCGGCGGATCTGAGGTTGCGGTTGGGAGCGCGTCGATGCAGGAGGTCCAAAGGTATGAAGGTGCGAGGTTCTGAAGGGCTTTGTGTGTGATGAGAAGAATTCTGAACTGGATTCTTTATGTATGGAGAGCCAGTGGAGGTTCTGAAGGACTGGGGTGATGTGGTCTCTGGTGCGGGAGTGGGAGAGCAGACGGGCAGCTGAGTTCTGGATGTTTTGTAGTCTGTTGATGATTTTGGTAGGTGACCCGTACAGGATGGTACAGGATGCTGTTGCAGTAGTCCAGTCGAGAGGTGATGAAGGCGTGGATGAGTGTTTCAGCGGCTGAGGAGGAGAGGGAGGGGCGGAGACGGGCGATGTTTTTAGATGAAAGAAGAAATTTTTTGTGATGTGATTGACGTTCAAAGGAGAGGATTTGATCAACAATGATTCCAAGATTACGGACATGTATGGAAGCAGGGACAGTGGTGCCATCAATGCAGAGGGAGAAGTTGTGGTGGGATTTGTTTCGTGATTTGGGGCCGATGATGAGCATTTCAGATTTGTCGAGTTTGAGAAAGTTGGCTTGCATCCAGGTTTTTATATCTGTGAGGCAGTTGGTGATGGTGGAGTGGGTGGTGGGGGTGATGGATTTGGTGGAGATGTAGAGCTGGGTGGGAGGTTAGCACATTTGATAAAGATGATATTATATGGAAAATAGCATACAGCATTATTAACAGACAGTACAGGAAATGTTTTTATTCTTTTTCCATGAAACTCAGTAAACCTGCTACTTGGAACAAACCCAGAGGCTTGTAGAATCGTTGCTGTTCTCACTCTGCAGAACTTGATGAAAGCTTTCACAGTGTGAACGGGACAGAACAACTCTCTGAAGACCAGGCCCATTTCTGGACGCATCTCAAGCTCTTTATCTTCCTGATATCAATTATGCAGCCTTATTTCATTTGCAGTGACAGAGCAGTGTTATAAATAAATCCATCTCGCTTACATAGCCCCAAGCTACCCAAAACCTGTCTGTGTATTTATGGATCTATTTGCTTTCCAAGTCTTTTCATTGGGGGGTGTGATTTGAAGATAAATATCCTGGAGCCTTACCAACTCCAGGATATCCCCCTAGTTCTACTTTACATCTCTAGTCAGCTTTACGCCTAGTCCTTGCAGCTTCTCCATATTAACATTCGGGATCGCTCACAAGAGAAAAGTCATTTTTCACACTGAAGACTTTTCTTCCAGTCCAGATTCAACATCATGTTGTTTGTGTTGTCTTTGTTTTCTCTGTCTCGTTTAGCCTCATTAACTAGGGCAACCCTCAGGAAACATTATTTGCCATTGTGATTTCTTCATCAGATCATTATTTATAGACCTCCAATGATACACTGAGCTGACGGGCTGTTATGCTCCTGATGGTGTACATTTCCACGTGCTGTAATCCAGTGAGTATTGTCAGCCCCGGCTGGGAAAATGTGCCATGAACGCTCCTATATAAAAAAAAAAAGAAATTTAAATTGCCACTAAAGAAAACCATTAATTAAGCAGTTCTATCTACAATATGAACACATTCTGAATATCCAGCTCCTACACAAATAAAAAACAAATCAACTCAGTTCGATTCAATTTAATTAGATCCAAGTCTGTTCAAGTTACTCAAAGATAACGTGCGACCACTTTAATGAGCAAATAGTCTGTTAACACTCCGACGGCCCGCCCACGGGCTTTTGGAGTGTTAACTGTACATCTGTGTCATGTACACAACTGCTATGTATAGGTAGGTACTGATGCGACGTATCTTTGGAAAGCTAATATTCTTGTGATTGGATTTATGTAAACCATTTCAAGATACAATCACAACAGCAGGTACAATCAACACCTCTGTCAGACCACCAACCCACAAACAAACAATTACTAAATCAAGGCAACTCACCGATAAAGCTTCATAGTATTCCACCCCTCGATAATATTCCAATAAAAAACGGTCTTGTTGGCAAAGGTCCAGACGATCCAATCCAGGAAAATATTTAGTCCAAAACACATTATTACGTCCATAAATACCCACGGACTGCTGTTGTATCATTTCAAATATGCCTAATTATTTATGTATTTTTTGACGTAACTTAACGTGTATCTTAACGTTCACATGTAAATATTGTCGGTCTCAAAATGGCGGCTGCACTCTGACCTTTCGATTGACACCTCATTTGACCCAATAGGAGCTTCCATGTCCTGTCCACAGCCTACAATAGCCAACGACAGTCCGCGTTGAAGGAAAGTGCCTGCCCCTCTTCTTTCGTGTAAAGCTTGAGCCAATTGCAACCGATCGTTCTGACTGACGCTTCGTATAGCCAATGACATTTCGAAAATAACGATATACAGCTTTAGGGGTTAGATTTAGAGGCAGAACCTGGAAGTCACTGTGTAACCGCGAGTCTGCTGTCTGCTTTAATGTGTGAAATGCAAAGTGTGGCTTTTGAGAGTTTTGGAGACTTTAGGAATGTTAATAATAATGAAATAACTTATAGATTACTGTATATCGACATTAATAAGCTTTGAGAGACCAAGGAGCAGTAAATATGTGTATTGATCCCTGAAGCTATCCTTGCAGCTGCTAATTTGTGACAACCAACTTAACAACCGAGTTCACAGGGTGTCGAAAAGAGAACCTTGGGGGTCCTTTTCATTTTCCATGCAGCACTTTGCTTACGTCCTCATCATGTTCAACAATACCAGGCTGAATATTTTGACAATAGAAGGTAGAAGAGAAAGACCTTTAAGTGTTTAAACCACTGGCATTGAATGCTTTTATTTAGAGAGCAGTGGATTACATAGAGGAACTATTGTTGAAGTAAAAACTATTCAAAGGATTGACGTAACGTTTCTTCAGTTGCTGCTCAGTTTTCACAGTGTGATGCCATCAAACAATAATCACCTCACAACCTGAATAGTATGAAGTACCAATATGTTGTTTTTCTTTTGATATAGCTATAGGTCGACTTGAATATTTTGGTACTTATACTTCACATACTTGTGTATAAGCCCTTCTTTCCATAGGATCTCCTTTTGTTCAGAGTATCAGAACTGTGAGTTTAGGGACGCCGGGGACAAACACTCTTTTGCTTTAGCAGTGGGTGCTTTTAGTCTTACGTACTTTATCGATGCCCAAAGGTTGAAGTTGTGCCCTTTGTGTCCCCTCGGATTCATGCACAGGCTCAGTCAACCAATGCACCGATTGGTGTAATGTGTCTTGACCAAGGACACGTCAGCAGGTTGCAGTAGGTTACTGGGGGAATCCATTTCCTTTGTGTTGCTATTTACATGATTGATACGATTTGTCTCTCTTGCTGTGTAGGACATAGGACCTATTGGACCAGACAGAAACTGGAAGGGCATCGGCATCTCCCTGCTGGTTATTGTGGCAGTGCTCTCTCTCATTGGTCTGTCCATCGTTCTGCTGTCTAAAGGTGAGGCTCCCTACGGATCCGATAGACTGTCAGGGTCACGGAGGATCGTATTTAAGCAGTGCTTCAACTTGATATTCCAGTCATTTATGAGACATGAACCTTTGTCCAGAGGCAGTAGAGCCACTTATATTGTGTAATACTACCTTATCGTTCACCCGTTTGTTCATTACATTACAGTTTCCTTTTGTGTGTTTGTTTGTGAAACAGTTGATTTGATTCATCCTGGGATTTGTCCTAAACCTTTCATAGCTTTATTTTAAGACTTCAAATGAAAAGAAAACACATTCAAATACATTTTATTATTTTTTGTTGTTATATGATTGTTGAATAATTATTGACAGTAAAGGAAATGTGATTTTTTCTTTTCCTTCTGTAGAAGATGGTGGGAAACCCTTCGGTTCACAGTTGACACTGGATGACCTCTTTCAAAGAAACTTCCAGATACATGATCCTGATGCAGAGTGGATCAGTGGTAAGTCTGTCACAAAGCTGAATTTGAATGGCCGCAGACACTGCAAATAATTCTGACGTTATATGAAAAGTTTTCATATGTGGCTTATTACATGACAACTGGGTTGTTAAGGTTTGGTCATAGGTAGAAGGTATTTAATTCTTTACTGTATACTACAATAATTGAATGTGGTGGTCACTGTGTTTTCTCTCTCATCTGTCTCTCCGAGTTGAGGCATGAGACAAAGCAAAAATGCGCAAGGTGCATGTGCACAAATCAATGTCAGCGGTTTTGCTACTTCATGCTACCCAAACAAACAAAAAGTCACTTTCAAAGCCTACGATGCAGATTACAAATGTGTAAGCCTTTTCACTCGACGACAAAAACTCACTAAACTAGCAGCCGAAGAGGAGAATAAAACAGCCATAATACCGTTGCTGTTTTGAGATCAAAAGTTGTGTTGGAGGACCTATCAATGCTGCTAATGGCTCTCTATTCATTTGCATGGCGTGGAGGAACATTTGCACACTGCAATCCTCCAGCATCCAAAAACCTGTCCTCAGCTTTGCATGTAAAAATACAGTTTATGTCTCCATCTGGGTCATGTTGAACTTTTGATTGAGAGACAGGTGCCTTTTTCGTCAGCGAATCAAGCGCTACATTTAGGTACAGCAACAGAGTCCCGGGAATATGTTTGGAGTGTTGTACAAACTCTGACAAACCCTAATCCCAGAGACCAGGTTTCACATCCTGAGGTCTGTCTGTTAGTCTTAGGCAACAACACTTTAGCTAAGGTTAGGGAAAGATCACGGTTTGGATCAAATGTTATCACGTCTTGTCTAATGCTCGAGGTCACTGCAGACTGTTTCAGTGTTGAATAGAGACCACATTGTTTCTCTGACCTTAACCAAGTGCTGCGATTGCGAGATCCAATATTTTGGAAGAAAACAAATGAAACGCGCTGCCTCTTAAGCTCCACGCCCCCAAATTTGGGGGCTCTCGGGCTCAGCACCCCTGAAAATATTGTTCGGAAAATAGCCTTATTCTTCGGTAATAGTGTGGATTGGTGCAGTTTTATTTCCAGATTAAACAGCAACGTATGGGCAACACTATCATATAAATCACTTTTTACACACTCCAAACACAACTATAGACTACTAATATAAGCAACTAGAACATGTGGCATGAACTCACGAAATTCTGGGCAGAAATCACCGTTATGTGTACTACAAATCAATATTTGCACCCGGAAGCTAGGGGCTACCAAGCTAAGCAATGCATTTTTTAGCAATAGCATTCAGTACAAAGCTGTGAGTGGACAATGGTACCATGGCACTGCCCTTCGCCAAAAAAAATCGTTGGATTCTGCTCACGTTTTATGAAAAATTAGTAAAATAACTTCGAAGATTATCCGGTTCAAAGCTACCATCATTGTTGGCAACTGCATCCTGTTTACTGCCGAGCTATTTCCAGTATAAGAGCGGTCAATTCATGATGGGCGAGTGGTCAGACTTCCGGCGAATGGAAATTTACGCTCGGGGAGACGTGGCACTTCTTGCAACTTTACTCTCTCAAAAATCTGTCAATCAACACCCGCTTCGGCACCCGCCTTCCTGAGACTCTGACGCTTCGAAGGCGGGCTCATTGACTGAAATCGACCGATGATAGGCTGAGCTACAGCCCCATACACACAGATCAACTGAGAAAATCCTTTGGATGACAGCCAGAAACATGCTCTGAGAGGACCCTTGCTGTCAAAATGATTACTAACAGCTGTATTTGGATGTATTGAATAATATGAGTGATTAAAAAAAGTGAAATATATAGTTATATAGTATATAAAAGTACAATGTAAGAGCTGCAACAGCTGGTTCGAAAATGATGACCTCTCTGTACTAAAGCCTCTTATTCTTCACTTTCTCCCAGCCAACCTTTATTCAGCAACTACTGATCGGTTGTGCTATGATTTGGGAGAGTTTTAGGCAGCCAGCTGCATTATTTCAAAAACCTAATATCAATAAAAGTGCTTTTTTTTCAGGCGAACCTGATTATTTTCAATTTGAGCTGTGTAATATCTTCATGCACTATATTAACCAGCAACATATACACAATATTTACCCATCTGAATAAATCTCACAAGTGTTATCTGATTATAGCATCAAAAATTATTAAAATAGACCTTGTAGTCTTGCTGGAAGGTGAACATTCGGCCCAGTCTGAGGTCCAGAGCACTCTGGAAGAGGTTTTCTTCCAGGATATCTCTGTACTTGGCCGCATTCATCTTTCCTTCAATCGCAACCAGTCGTCCTGTCCCTGCAGCTGAAAAACACCCCCATAGCATGATGCTGCCACCACCACCATGTTTCACTGTTGGGATTGTATTGGGCAGGTGATGAGCAGTGCCTGGTTTTCTCCACACATACCGTTTAGAATTAACGCCAAAAAGTTCAATCTTGGTCTCATCAGACCAGAGAATCTTATTTCTCATAGTCTGGGAGTCCTTCATGTGTTTTTTGGCAAACTCTATGCGGGCTTTCATATGTCTTGCACTGATGAGAGGCTTCCGTCGGGCCACTCTGCCATAAAGCCCCGACTGGTGGAGGGCTGCAGTGATAGTTGACTTTGTGGAACTTTCTCCCATCTCCCTACTGCATCTCTGGAGCTCAGCCACAGTGATCTTTGGGTTCTTCTTTACCTCTCACCAAGGCTCTTCTTCCACGATTGCTCAGTTTGGCTGGACGGCCAGGTCTAGGAAGAGTTCTGGTCGTCCCAAACGTCTTCCATTTAAGGATTATGGAGGCCACTGTGCTCTTAGGAACCTTGAGTGCTGCAGAAATTCTTTTGTAACCTTGGCCAGATCTGTGCCTTGCCACAATTCTGTCTCTGAGCTCCTTGGGCAGTTCCTTCGACCTCATGATTCTCATTTGCTCTGACATGCACTGTGAGCTGTAAGGTCTTATATAGACAGGTGTGTGCCTTTCCTAATCAAGTCCAATCAGTTTAATTAAACACAGCTGGACTCCAATGAAGGAGTAGAACCATCTCAAGGAGGATCAGAAGAAATGGACAGCATGTGAGTTAAATATGAGTGTCACAGCAAAGGGTCTGAATACCTATGACCATGTGATATTTCAGTTTTTCTTTTTTAATAAATTTGCAAACATTTCTACATTTCTGTTTTTTTCTGTCAAGATGGGGTGCTGAGTGTACATTAATGAGAAATAAAATGAACTTTTTTGATTTTAGCAAATGGCTGCAATGAAACAAAGAGTGAAAAATTGAAAGGGGTCTGAATACTTTCCGTACCCACTGTAGCTTTGCTGTTCTTTTTTTTCGGGATTCTTCGTTCATTGTGGAGGCTAGTGAGAGAGTTTTATTTAAGAATTCAAGGTAACAGGTGGCGTACCCCTTCAAAGGAAGGGTTGGTTATCTTCTTCAAAAACATTTGGTGTATTTTTGTTGAAAAATGACATCCTGACAGCAATCAATGAATCAAATGTTTTGACAAAAAAAGAAAAAATTGGTATATGTGGCTGTTGCAGGAGTGTATACGTCTGGTCAATCATTTTATGTGCTGATACAGCATTCATAGCTGATAACATCGTCCCAACCGAAGCAGAACGCACCCTCCAGTCGGTGCTGAGAGATTCTTGGCCTCCAAAACTCACAGCAGTCAGTTTTTGAAGCCAACTGATATTTATTTGACAGCGTACCTATGGAGGACAGTGATGTTAGGGAATGACTGGCACTATCAGCTACAAGAATCACAGAAACGTAGGCCACAGCTACTCTTAAACATTACATGTCAATAGAGACTCGCAAGAAAAATAGTCCATGTTGGATAAACTCCAAAAACACTGGATCTTACAAGTCCCATGATGCAACTTGGTAGCGTCTTTTTGTTAGCTTCTCCTTGTCAGGTAAATGCCCATTTCTTTCAAACTTGATGGCCCCAGTGTGTAACAAAGGCTTTCCCTTTAAGATGTGTTGTCATCAAACCCAAACTGAGACGACATCATTAGAGGTTATGGCCCTGCAGAGCCACAGCAGACATTTCACATGCTGAGTAATGTTCTCTTTGGTAAATAATATGATCCTCATGGGTAAAATATTCATGTCCAACATGAAGGTGAAATGCCCATTTCTTAAATGCCTTTTAACCTTAAAATTCCTGATACGTCCTGAATCAACAATGTCAATTCAACAATGAAAACCAAGTCTGGTGCTTTTACTGTTACTATCGAGGCAGCAACGTCCGGTTTTGAATAGTGAAGCCAATATTGAAGTGCCTTGAACTTGCATTTTTTTCTAATGTCCATCAGGGGACGCCTCCTCTGGTTGGAAAATGAAGTGAGATTATATAGAAGTCTATGAGAAAATGACCCTACTTCTCTCTTGATTTATTACCTCAGTAAACATTGTAAACATGAGTTTATGGTCTCAATCTCTAGTTTCAAGTCTTCTTCAATACAGCATGATGTTCATTTAGTAAATTATGGTCTATTTAGAGTCAAACAGATCATAAAGCAGAGTATGCCTTAGGGCGGGCTTACTGTGATTGACAGGTCGCTGCCATGGCGTTGTCCGGTCTGGGAGTTGTCCTTTAACCTTTTCACAGTGTGTTTTCCGTTCATAAAAGTTCATTGTAACATTTTTGTCACATTTTTTGTTATTTCTGGTTGCTAAAAAAGAAATGACGATGGCCAAAAAGCTAGATGGCCAAGCCAAAATGCTGACTTGAGGCTTCAAAGCAGTAGTCTAAAACTATTTTCTTCATACCACCCGCCATCAGTTGGGTAAGAGCACCACCAGTGCTATAACGGGCGATCTTCCTTTCATTCTTGGCGTTACAAAACAGGGGCGAGTCATCTGATAACTGGGACACTTTTAATCACAGCTGAGATTGCGTGTCACCTTTATCCTCGGAGGCTTTATAGATGGAACTGTTGTCAACTCAGGAGGACAGTAGCCCCATTTTCCAATTACATTTGCTGTGAGATGTTTTATACAACCATCGATTTGATACATGAACTGCATACAAGATGCAGAGAGGACTGGGGTTTGTTTCACTGCAGGTACAGTTTCTAAATGACAAGAACCCTTTTGAAGATCCCCTTCCTTTTTGAAAACAAGCAATCCATCTGTGTATCGTATTCATTTTCCTGTCATTATACTCTCAAGTGTTTTGAGTGTTGGCTAGTCCATAGCCCTCTTGTCTGAGATTGATGCCTCAGAGCTTATTCATTGACATTTACATGAGATAGGGACCCTGAAATGATTCAGACCTGTCAAATGCATTAATGGAATTCTGGCCTCTGTAGGGTTGGTTAGGGATTACACTGGAGTTATTGCAGGCAGTTCTGTCATTGTTTCCACTGTTGGAACTTGAAGTGTAATCTCACTGAGCCCAGCTGTCTGAGACAGATCCTCCTAAATGAGTCTGTATTATTGTTGTTTTCTTCTCTCTTGTCTAACACTCTTCTCTCAGGGGCATCACTGGCATCTATCACTCTAATCATTTTCTTGTGTGTTGTTTTCAGAGTCATTTGGACCTTTTGAATCCCTCCCAAGTATATTAGATGTAGGCTGTTGATATGATCAACAAAGGAATTCCATTTTGTCCACTTGAGTCCCACCGTTTTCCTATGAAGGGACCAATGATTCCCAATGTCCCAAAGTACGATGCACATTTCGGTATTATAGCGCAAGATTTTTGTGCAACAACTCGGTGTCAGTGCAGAAAGTAGTACTCTCATGTACGTAATAGAAGTTGGTGGAGGGGTGGAGAAGCAGATTTTGCATTATCACACTAATAAACTATTTCGCTATTCTTAACTGCTAAGTCTTTTTCCCTTATCCATAATTTGCCATGACAACAATCTTTACCATCCCAGACTCAACCATACCATAGTTGCCATGCAGAAATAATACAGAATATATTATGAAAAGATTTACAGAACTAGGCTAGTCTACAGCCATGCCGGCGGTTCCATGAGGCGGATTTTAGGTAAAACAGTGCTTTGAGCTAAATGCTAGTCTCAGTATGCTAACAATACCAACATTAACGTATTGATGTTTAGCAGTGTGTTAGTGTGTTAACATTTGACCCGATGAGGGCGCTCAATGTAAAGTCAAGGGATGAAGAAAGGGATTACCCTCTATCCTGAGGGAGACCTGAATGTGTGCACCAGATGTCAATCCATCCAATATCTGTTGAGTCACTTACAAATACAAATGTCAACGTGCTGGAGGTGCCAAGGGAAGTCAGGGGGTCGTCAAAGTCACAGAGGATCATCATCTAGCCACCATGAATGTACAACATGCTGTGAAACATTGTTAACCCTCTGAACAACAAAACCTGCCGGCGGAATGGAAAAGCATGTTTTTTTTTAAACCATCACCAAAACTACTCCTTTATAATAGCCAGAAGCTGCAGACATTATTATCGTCAGATTTTGATTTTTCCGACGGTCCTTAAACACACCATGTGTGATGTACTTTCCACCAGAAAACCCAACCAAAACTACGCTTTAAATTGTGATAATTAATTAAAAACATTTTATTCTACATATCTTATTTAAAATCACACCAAATAAACCTTTTGCTTTAACCAGATGCTGTAAAAAACATTAAATTCGGAGCTCCTCAGCACGCGACTAGTACGCCATGATTGACTCAACTGAGACTAACAGTTACGTGACAAAAATTTGTTGTGACAAAAGAGCAAACAACGACCCGAAACTGCTTTAGGGTTCAGAGGGTTTATAACCATTGAATTATGATGTCATTTAACACAATCCACAGTTTTGGAGAAACATCTTAAAGCGTTGTCTGGTGATGGGGCCGCATGAAGCCAGGGCTAAAACTGGCAAGTGTGCAGTGTTTGGAGGTTAAATTTCTCATTTGAATTTGAGCTCTGCTCACTGCTGAACTTTCAAACCACAATCAGCCTAAAGCATGCTCTAAAAATCTATACTTAAGTAAACATGCGATGCATTGAATTGACTCAAAACATGAGCTGTTAAGTTGAAACACATCATTGTTAATTATTTGGTTTCACATAGAGGTCCAGACGCTAGCAATGGATGGGGCTTTTAGATTTTATGCAAATCACATCAAGTGGCCTCGTAAATAATGCAAACTTTTGAGCACCGCATGACAGCAAATCCATGTGGCTAAGGTTGCCATAGCAACACATGTACTGTTGTGCATCGCTTAAAGTTAATGGAGGTGAATGCGGCAAGACTGCTTATCGTTTGTGGAGACGGCCTCACTGTGACCTCTCTTGTCAAGAAATCTCCGCTTTTCCGGCAAACTGAATTATTTCAAAAGAGAAGGGCCATTTATTAATTCCAACATGCCTCGACATCCAAACAAGATGACATTCCCCTCATGTACTCTGGGATTTGAAATCAGCTTTAACTTTTCTCTGAGTTTTCTAACAAAACAATCATCACATAATAATAATATCTCACATTTAGGATTCGTCAACCACAAATCAATTGTTTCTTAGTTCAGGGCCGTTCTGTCACAAACATAGCTGATGTAAATACGCAAACAATTTAGAAACATTGAAAGAAGGCAATACAATTTCAGCATGGCTGTTTTTTTCCTCTCAGATGAGGAGGTCATCTTTCGGAGCTGGGATGGAGACATTATGAAAGTCAGCACGAACAGCAACGAGACAGAGCTCCTGCTGAAAAACACAACATTTGTAAGTGTTGACTCTGTCTTTGTTTCTTAAAAGGTGAGAAATGTTTCCAGTGCATTTACAATGTTTCTCTCATTCCCACTGGGGTTCATGAAGCATAGAGTAAAAACCAACATCAACAATAGGACACCAGGTTTAAAAAAAACAATTTAAAGAATATTACATGACAATTATCTGACTTTTTTTTATCGTATAAAAAGTTGTATTTTCTGCTTTCTACTCTGAGCATCATGTCTCATAGTTACTATGGCAGGTATTGACCCTGCTAAGGTCAACTCACCTTTCACTGAAACGTTTTACACTCATCTCAGTTTGTGAGAGGGATTTTTGGGTTGCATTGATGGTCATTTTGTGTGTATCTTGTTGTAAGTTTTAACGTAGTTTATTATAAGAAGTCTCATCCATCTCTTATTCATCACACAGGCAACTTTTAAGGCGTCAAAGTTTGCAGTTTCTCCAGATCTGAACTATGTTCTTCTGGGATATGATGTCAAGCAGGTAAGAACCTCTTAATATTCTGCTTGCATGTATTCTGGCACTGGTGTTTGGCTTGGGGCTATGCTGGAGGTTTACAGTTCCTGAAGTGAAATGGACATGTGGGAACATGCACAGAAGTTGTTGAATTAGAGTGCACAAAAAGTAACAAAATACTTGTCATAAGATATCATTCGAACCAGTTGGCTCATTACAGTCTTTTCTCAAGCAGCGTTCGTAGCGGCCTACGAAAAATGTGCTCTGTAATTTTGCAGATATCCGACGAAAACTATGTGTATGTAATCCGCCTAATCATGAACCAGGGAAGTATAAAGACTTGAAAAACCCACGCTCGTGGGAGGAGAGGTGGACGGGGGGTGGACAAAAAACAGTGCGTCCCATGAGACGGCTGTCCCAGTATGAAACAGGAAGTCAATGTTGATTCAACTTCTGTGCTCAATAGAGCCACTTCTGTTGTTACTTTGACCCACACCTCAAGTTTTTCCTGAACCCAATTACAAGGGGTTTTATGAAGTACAATTGCTCTGGTGTATTTGTGGTGTTTTACTAATGTCACGACCCGGCTCAAAAGGCCGTAACATGAGGGAGACAAGACGAGTATAAAGTAATAGACAGATATTTATTTAAAGTACCACTAACTAAACTAAACTAAACAAATAAAACAAAGCAGCAGCCGTGTCCTCCAAACAGGAGGCAGGGAGGAGAGGCGCACCCAGCCAATGAGGGGCCGCCTTTATAGCTGGGACCAAACCAGGCTCAGGTGTAAAAAACAGTGGCTGTTTCTTCCAGCTTCTCCTCGCAGAAACTTTTTCTCCCCCTGCTGTCACACACAGCTGCACTCCCATGCTGCTCAACTCTTAAACTAGCCCCTCAAGCCTAGCCAAGTCTCGTGGGTGAGGTTCAGCTGGCTTATGAGACAAGCTGGCAACAGAAACAAAATAACTGCATCACTGCATCAGAGTGTCTTGGATGGGGTTGGCGGCCACTCTTGGCTCCCAGCAGGTAAGGCCAAGTGCCCACTAGACAACAGACATTCAATTTAGTCATCCCAGATTTACTATCAGAATCTGTGCATTGGCAGGGTCATTACTAGGGCTGGTTATTGGTAGACTATAGCGATAATAACCCAGTACCAAGTTATATCGAGACTTCTCCAGTCAAGGGATACCTGCAATAGATCATTTTAGTGCCCTGATCTAGAAAAACGTGCTAATTAAATTGTTTTGCTCGCAGCCAATTACCACAAGGGTTCTTCCATTTAATGCAACGTGCGATTGGCCCACAACAGCCCATACAGCCGGGATGGCCTGTCTTCACACAGCTCTGAACCATAGACTTTATATAACAAGTGGACATAGTCATCGTGACATCACCCATTGGTTTGTGGACTGCCTTTATGAAGCCTTGAGTTCGGCCTTTTGGCCGTCGCCATTGTCGATTATGGTCGTTACCATCTTGACTTTTTGTAGCCAATGGAAGTTTCCATATTTGGAATGCGGAGGAGTGACGTAGACACGCCGTTTACGGCGCTGGTAGCAGTAGTGACCTGTCAATCACAGTAAGCCTGCAAATCTCTCGCCCGAATTGAAAAATTTAAACTTGTTTGAATACCGCCGATTTTGTGTTTACTTGCGTCTGTTCGCGTCTTTGCAACAACTTTGTATGTAATCTAGTCGCACAAAAGATTTGCATCATGTTTTGTGTGAACACACTGCTCTTATTTTTTTGGTTTGCAAAGGGGATAAAAATGACACCAACCTTCAAAACCCCTGAGAAGCAGAGTAGCCCCATGCATCCCACTTTGATGTATGGATAAATCCCAAACTTAAGATTTGAATTGTTGAATACATTTATTATAAGTCGCTTTGGATAAAAGCGTCTGCTAAATGACTGTAATGTAATATAATGTAAAGAGGACTGCTGCCAATCACGATTTAGCAACTGAGTTATGGTTGCTAAACCGTGATTGGACGAACGCAGTTCAGAGAAGAGAATAAGGCAACAGATTTCCTGCTACATTTCTTTTACTGACCTTTAGAATACAGTACAAATCATTGTTGATTCAGCAGACTTGTTTTCCCATTCTTATCAGCCATAACAAGTTTGATACGTCCCTCAGTGATAAAAAAAAGTAAACCAATTAAAGTTAATGTATACCCTTTATTGGGATTCATTGGTTGGCAAAAAATAAATAAATCCCACCTCAATGGTGGCGTCATTGAGGATCAGCACTCTGAGCCCCCATCAGTCCCAGCATGTCTTCCTCTAAAATGGCAATACCACAAAACAAACACTGAGCTGTGTGGCCCAGCCACTGCAGGTTTGTTTCACCATTTAACATGATGTTTACAGAGTGTAGACGATGGGATGGAGGATTGTTTGTGCGTGTTGAAGGAATGCGCTCAGACACGATAATCAGGCCGATCAGCTCTGTATAGGCTGGTGCTCAACTGCTGATCCACAGCACTTTTCATTTCACTATTTCAGCATTTTCTATTGTTAGCAGATTCTGGTACAGAGGTGGAATAGTTTTTTTTATCTGTTACTCAGGCAGATATAATTCAAATGACTGCAATGAATAATATGAGGCAGCATTTTGAAGAGAGGGAGCCAATTTCAAAATTTTTAATGTACAATACAAGCTCCTATCTAACTGTAATGGAAGGAGTCTCGTTCCATATGTCTGTCCTTTGATTTTCTCAACACCCGTTTATTCGGTCAACTTCACACTTGGCAGATTAATTGCTCAGGACCCAAGGAAGTGCATAGTAGAGTGCGAGGATATATTTAAAGACCACAAAAGCCCACACAAGACGGATGAGAGAGGAGGTGGATGGGTCCAACATCCAGCAATCTTTCAGTCAGGAGACTGGTGTTTGATCCCCATGTGAAACGAGAAGCCATGTTGATTTATTTGTCATGTAAATTTTGTTCTTTAGTAACAGCACTTCTGCAGGTATTCAAACAGTTTGATTGAGTTTTGTTGCCTAAACCTAACTAAGATGTGGAAATTGAAACGTGTTGCTGGACTGCTGGGATGCAACAATGGTCAACCCGGTATTGTGCCAAAGCTTGTAATAGACCCCCCCAGTCCAGGCTTTGGCTGTACTGGGTTGGATGACGGGTGTGCTCAGGACCCAAGGGAGCGCAGTGTCGGGTGTGGAGATGTTTAGCAGCAACACCAGAGGCCAAGCAATCGGCCTGTTCCCAGCTGGCCCTGCACAGGTAGCAAATGATTACAATAATAACAGTAGTATTAAAAGATCATGTTACTCTGCACAAATGATACACCTACCTATAATTTCCAAATTGTGTGCCTCTTGCCTTGTGTGCGTTTTAAAGTTGAACCATTTCACTGAAAGAAAAAACCCTGTACTATCAACACACAGGATGGCCCCTTATACATTTATTCAGAGTAGAGCTTATTTTCATCTGTCTAGATGTCAAATTAAAGGTAGTTTCTGCCATACCTCCAATGTCGTATCATGTTGAGAGGATGGCCCTTACAATCGCACCATAAATTAGTTGTGAGCTCTTAAGCTTCAAATTAAGAAAAGCACAAAACAGCTCTCTTGCAATAAGTGTAAAAGTTATTACTAATCAGTAATCAGCCTACATTTCATGACAATCTGTCTAAAAGTTGTTGAGACATTTCACTCAAAACCACAAAAGTTAACCTGTTGGTGGCACTAAAGGACAATGAATACCTATATACAATGTTGGGATATTTCAGTTTGGACCAAAGTGGTTGACGCACAGATCGACTTTGCCATTGCTAGCCAATTAATACTATGATAAATCAACTTTTGTTGAGTGGAGTGGAGTGGACTGGAGTAGAGAGATATTTTACATCTGGACATCTTCCTCAAATACAATTAGTAAATGTTTCAATCTTTAATCTGTTGAAATGTAAACAACCATCTCCAAGAGGCCATAGAATGCTACTTCGCTGTATTTATAGAGACAGTATTTGGATAGATACTACTTAGCTGCGTCATATATCACATATCTGACATTGAATTAGCTTACTGTTTCCTGGCTGGAAGACAAATTGGAATATTCCAGATACTTATGAAGCAATTATTCATACACATGGCACATTTTGTAATTTACTAATGGGAACAAACTGCTTTGCCTTATAACTACTCATTTATTATGTTGAAAAGTTAACATTTACATAAGCTAATGTGAAAACATTCAAGTACATGTGTTTTTGTTTCTGTGAATGTAACAATGTTTGTCTACAAAGGACAATGGTGGATATTTTACTTCAAGGTACAGTGTAAAAGCATTTCGGGGGATATATTTCAAGAAATATTCTCAGTTACTTGTTCTCCAAACCACGTAGGCATTATTTACCACCAACATATTCTCATTATCAACTCGTCAAATACAGAGGCATGGTCAGTGGCCCTACGCTTTAAACTATGTATGTTTAAACTAAACTACGTACCCCTCCAGTGCCAGTTTTAGACATGTCTGGGACGGCATTTCAAAATATGCTTGTTACTTGCTATCGTTACTATCGTTTTTTCAAAATCAACATCTCTCTTCACAGGAAGTTAGATTTAGGCAACAAAACTACATAACTAAGTAGTTTTAAAAAAAGATTGTGGTTGACGTTAACTTGATTGACTAACATCTCAATGACAAAATAAGTCAACGTTGACTTTTAGTTTCACATGGTACACAAACAGAGGCCTTGGTGAGAGTCCTGTGTTTGTTTGATCAACCTGCCACCCCTCCCACCCCTGCCTAGTGCACTTTGTACTACATCAGTTGCTCTAAATGTCTTATACTGACCTAAGTTGGTTTTGATTGGAGTAAGTCAAAAGTGTGGTGCATCTCATACAGACGCTGAAGGGTGCTTTGGTGCATTGGTATCAAGACACATAGGGGCACTGACCAAGCAGCAGTAGTTGATGAGTTGGGTGTGGGAATGGGTTGTAACTGTGCAGTTACTGTGGTGACTGTAGGAGCCAGGTATGGCCTGTGCCATTTTG